AAATGGTGACGATATTATCTTTATTAAAACAATGTTAATGATCGCTTGTTTTATAATTAAAAAACAAACAATTATTGTTGAAGAACAGTCACACATAGCTGACAATATTTCCGTTATTCAAAGCGGAAGTTTATATATTAGACTTGGCTTATAATGAAATTCCGGAAACAAAGTGATCCTTCGAAAGCATTAATCCCCACAAAATTATAAGAGAATTGCAGACTCGGTTGGATTGAGTCTGTACATGAAGGATAATGAATACGTGCAACATCTCTCACGCCCCCTAGCACCTACTTGAGCGGTACTTAATTCTCAACACTTAATAGTGCTGGCATCAATGATCCTGAAGGACCAGAAAATATAACAACACTGAAGTGAAGTACAGTACCATTTTTGAAATTTGTGTACTTTACGGGAGGAAAAGAGTAACTATTGTGTCTGATGAGGGGGATTGCATTTTGATTTGTTAGCCATTCATGTATTTAAAAGAAAGAACACTTATTTGAGGATTGTTACAGACAATAAATAAGTGTTGACAGATGTGTTAACTTTAAAGAAGCGACTAGGAATCCGGAAAACTTGAAAGGCTTTGTTGTTTACTTATTTATTCTTCATTGCTTTTCACATTGCATCAGGCAGTTATTTCTTGTAGGGTACTAAACTATGCCCAAATATCATCTACAGCAGTATAAATTACTTTTGCTGTAATTATATGTCATTAAACGTAAGAATCATTTTCAGAGTCCTTTATTCCAAATTGTTTATATTTGTTCGGTATTAAAAATCAATCTGATTAACAAAAACACAGAAAGAACGAACAAAAAAGAAAATGCGTCACGTTATTTAAGTGTCTGATGTGGTATACGCGAGTGTTTATACAAAATCGAAAAGAAATCTTTGCAATTTAAACACTTGTACAACTAAATATTTGCAATATCTGGTGAAAAATTGATCCCTCGCAAGCACCTAGAACAGCAGAATTTCACGAAAATTGCAGAATCGGTTAGCCTAGCAACCGAGCCTGCAACATTTTCAATTTTGTTGTGTTTGAAGGGATTCTGTTTATCTCTATTTTATTAAGTCTGTTTATGAGGAATGATGAAAACGTGCAACATCCCTAAAGCCCCGATAACCGGCTTGAGCGATACTCAATTTTTAACACTTAAAATGATCCCGAAGGACCTGAAAAATATATCAACACAGAAGTGAAATAGAGAAAAACAGAATTTGAAGAACTTAAGCAAGCCTGGTTTCCATGGAGTTATGGTTTATAAACTTAGTATGATCATGAGTCATTGTAATTTTTCTGCTGACTACACTAAAAATATGAAGCGTTCTATTAAAGAAGGTAAGACCCAATTATTTTAAGACATACCGCATGTTTGGTTTTGAACCCCTTTCCAGTTGGACTCTAAGTTTTACTCTTTTGTTCCGTTTTTGCATCTGAAGGACCAAGTGGAAGAGTGTATGCTGGACAGTTCTTAAGCCTTTTGTACGGAATTGTTTTATTTTTCGTCTTCTGTCCTATTATTTGGGTCCTTGTAAGTGATTTATGTACTGTTCTGCATCCCTTAAAGGCATCGAGTACTTTTGTTATGGTGATTTGGCTGTTCCTCTTTGTACATGTGTACTTGATCATTTATGTGTTTTATTTACTTCGCCTTATGTAACCATGACAATAGTTAGGCGGGGATTCATTTTATTTAGACCGTCTCGTCATATAGGAACGTATTAGGGCTACAAGTGTGGTTTGGGGTCCGTCTTGAATCCTTGCCGCTGGTTTTTGTTGCTGGGTCGTGTGTGAGTTGGATTCATTGAACGCCGCCTTTCCTTGTCGAACTTGTTTATCATATATTTGGCGTACCTCTAACCAGTTTAAACTCCCCAGTGGTGTTATTACTACTGTCCGTTCAAAGGTGGTACCCCTCGTGTGTTTTTTCACGTGTATGTTTTGTGTATTGTTAAATGTTTTGAACGTTGCACGTTTTGCAATGTCCTATCTTGTTAATGCGTCGTTAACGGTAAGTCTCTTCAAACGAGGTGTCTTAAGCACAGGTAAAAGGGAATTTTAATCAGAAATTACTTTCCCGCCATTTGAACAAGAAAGCTGCAAAAAGACATCATGCAAACGTGTTTTACTCATTAACTCGATAGCTATGTACTTTAATCGGATGTACCTAAAATAATTCGTTATCTGTTGTAGCACATGAATTCGGAAAAGGTAAACAATATGAAAAACGGCGAAAAGTATAAGATAAATAAAGTCAACTTTCTGTTAAATTTCGGGATTTTCTGAATGATAAGGATCTTCCAGAATTTTTATTTAAGAATACTTGCTAGCTAAACTCTATACTCGAAAATATACTGCCTTTGAAAATAAACCTCGAAAAGAAGCCATTTATCTCTTACCAAAGGTAAATATGTGCCGCAGCTTTTTATCGGATTGCCGAAGTTGTGATATGTAAAATAAAAAAATGAAACCACTTCGTTTAAAGCAGGATGTCTCAAAATTAAATTAAAGTATTGGGGTATGAACAAGGAAGTAATTCAAACATTGTAAACACCTCTTATAATCCATATAAATTACTTAATAGGTAATACTTTGCAAATAAGCCCTTAATACGTAAGTCACACAGAGATATATGGTGATACATACTGCAAAATTATTCATTATCTTACACAACATAAATCTTGAATATATTACTTTTTAAAATCTCAGTACACTTTTCTCAAGTAAGATTTTCCAGAAATAGTCTGCTTCGTCTGAAGATATGCAACTTTAAGATGAAATTATTGTCCGTCTTCCCGCTAGTATGCCGTCTTTATGTCATTCGTTAACCATTTGTTTCTCTGTCTTAATACCTTGTTCTCTGCATTCGTATCTCTCTCTGGCTCTGCAAAAATGGTCTGCTAATGCTGAGAGCTTCTTAGCCTGAGATCTCCCCAGCTGTACTTATACTGCTGACTGTTCAAAGGCGGCGTCCCTCTGTGTTCCTCAGATGTATGTATTTTTTGTTATTTCATACTGATTTGGTGACATTTGTTTGTTTCCCTTGTAGTTTTCTCGTCTACGTTAAGTATCTTTCATTTTGCCCCTAACTTTATTTCTTTAATTTTGCCCCCCCCCCCGCCCGAATCTCTTTATCCCATTCCCCCGTGCCTTTTTACTTTTGTTGGCCTATTAATCAATCATTTAATTGTTTTCCTTGATTCCCTTGTCAGTTACTATTATTTCTTCTCATGTATCATTTAAGTGATTAGCCCTTCCGTGCTCTGTCACGCGTCCTGTCCTGTATTTGTTTGGGGTCCTTCTGGTCTCCTTGCCGCTAGATCTTGTTGCGGGGTCGTGCGGAGGTTGCGTTCATTCAACACTGCCTTTCTTTGTTGATCTTGTTTATCATGTTTTCTGAGAACATTTGTTGATTGAAGTTTGATTGTCCGCCTTATTGAAATGATAATAAGTCATTGCAGACATATAAATACTTCAGATTTACAAGTAGTGGCAGTTACTTCCATGGAATAACATGTTTATTACTTTACAAACGATTTCAAAACGTCAGATTTCTACGGGATGGCATTAAAAGACACATTCATTCACGGCTATACTGATCGATTGCTACTTCAAAATTTAAATGACACTCAGATTATTTTATTTAAGTAGTGTAAGCGGTGTATTTAATTTTGACTTAAACTTCAACTGAAATATTTCTAGGTAAAAGGTTAAAATGCATTTAAGCAAAAGTCAGTTTTAACTTTCAAAACTTCAGAACCCAGAGTGAGTTGATATGAAGCAACTAACGCACTTCAGTTTTCATTCTCGATTTTGATCGCAAAGTGCGTTTGATCCAAGAGTTTTACAGTGTACTAAAGTTAATGGTGTGTTATACACAGAATATTGCTCAATTTTGGTCCTCTTATCAAAATAATCTCAATCGGGCGTGACAGAGCAGTCACAAAGAACACATTATAATTATTTTTCTTTTGTTTAAAAATAATTTTTGGTTCTGATTTAGATTTTAATTGTGTTGTAGACAATATCAGACACAACAGTCCATTTCAACGCTCAATTCGATGATTGGGAAACGCCGCCAAAACTACATTGCTGCATTTTTTGATGCAGAGTTTACAAAAATATAATAGAAAACATTATATATATTTTTTGACATTTAAAATTGGCGAAATGTTTTTTCTTGGAAAAGCGATTGATCATAGGTAGCTCTGTTTTTGTCAGACATAAAATGCGGGGTTTTCTCCTGGTTCTAAATAAAAACCTTTGCATATTCCTTAACAATTGTAAACTAGTCTGATTGAAATTAAAATGTTTCCTTAATTTATATTTTGTGTTAACTAAAAAGACCTTCTTACAAAAGCCCGGTTTTTTAAATGAAAATATACTTAAATAATAACAAAAATACAATATTACACTTATATATGAAAGAAACTACTTTCGATACGATTGCAGTTTTAAAAGAGAAGAAACAACAACACAGGCTTCCGTCAGTCAAAGAGGCGCTCGCTCTATGATAAAGGTTACAAATAGATTCCTTTCTTAACATTAGAGCAAATTTTTCTTCTGTTAGGAAAAATAAATTCAAATATGATTTACCCCGCTGGATCCTACAAACTGGTTATGAGGTTGGTATATGAGGAAAGTAATTCAATGCTATATAAAAGTAACCATACAAATCATATGTGAGAAATGTTGATTTTGCCGTCAATTCTATATGGTTGTAGATTCTTCATTCTGATTGGTTATGGGTAAGTGGTGTTTGAGTAGAAATGATCAAATGTTGCTTATTGTATTGATCACTGTCAGTGAACGGAGATAAAACATATTGAAAATATACTTTTTTGCGATTTTTATATAACTTCAAAACGATATCATATGATAACCATGCACAATTTCTCATCAGTCCTTAAATATATATGGTAAACTTAATCTAATAATTCGAGTAATCAATAAAGATTCTATAAAACTGAAATATAACTAACAAACTTACATGTGTGGTAACACTATCTATCTTCGGAGCAGCATTACAAACGGTAGTTTTCCGGCCAACACCAATTGAGGCAAATGAATTAATTAGTGCGGACTTCCCATGTCCACGAATGCCAAGTACAAGAGCATTAAAATTGTTGAGACCGGACTCTGCTGTTGGTCTTATTTCATTTATCTCCTCGAGAAGTTGATCTGCTGTCTGTAATAAGTCATATAAATTGCTGAGGTGATAAAAATATAAGAGTAAAATAAAACAAATTATTTCTCAAATTTTAATAAGCTTGACTGAACAAGGACGCCGAAAACGCTGGCGATATAAGCCCGCATGCAACCATATTTAAGGATTTAAATAAAGGAAAAAAACATACATGAAATTTGACGTTAACATTTGTACATGTTAAAAATGGATCTAAAAATATCTTCAAACTCGGGTTTTATTAAAATATCATTGAAGGAAAGGTGTAAAGGTATCCAATTTGGCATAGATGTACCTTAAGACATAATGGCAATGCTTCATGTCAAAATGAGGCCTTAAAAGGGTTACATTAGATTATATAGATTTTTTTTGAAATATGAATTAGTCTAAAATGGATAAATTTGTAGCTCTGTTTATACCCATTGTATCTTTTTTTATTACATTTCGTTTCATGTGCATCATTATTTCCAGCAGATACTGTATAAATAGATTTACGCCATGCATTATTTTCGCTTCTACGCCTCAAAATTCGAAAATGCGAAACCACAAAGTCCAACTTTGCCTTCTCTTCGTGTTTTCGCTTTTTCGCATTTTTGAGGCAACATAGCGAAATTACGACAGAAGGAGGGTGCGAATACGACACATAAAATATGTCGTATATTCGCATTCCATCTGTCGAATTTTCGCTTTTTGGCGTTCAAGATACAAAAATGCGAAAACACAAAGAAACGACAAAGCATAACTTTGCCGTCGCTTCGCATTTTCGCATTGTTACATTTTCGCATTGTTGCATTTTTTGCTTTTTTGCATGCATTGTAACATTTTCGCATTATGCATTTTTGCTTTTTCGCATTGTTACACATTCGCATTTTCGCGTTCCGGTTGTACATGCGCATGGAGACATCAATTTATCATTATAATAATAATAATAATTATAATAATAATAATAATAATAATAATAATAATAATAATTATAATAATAATAATAATAATAATAATAATAATATTATTATTATTATTATTATTATTATTATTTATAATTATTATTATCATCAACATTATCATCATCATCATCATCATCATCATCATCATCATCATCATCATCATCATCATCATTATTATTATTATTATTATTATTATTATTATTATTATTGTTATTATCATTATTTTATTATTATTATTAAGTTTCTGTAAATATCTGATCTTATTTAATAGTCCTTTATACGTTGTATTCACGTAGCTGTATAATTTAAAAGTAAAATGATTAAATAATATAACAGTAAGGCTTTCAGACTTTTTTGAATCGATTAATGCAACAATTATTATAATAAGTACATTAATTTGATCCTACCATCTTTAGGTTTTCAGTCTATTTTGCTGACGGTTGTGACTGGTGTGACATGAGATATACGATATAGCCACTACCCGCACACATCGTAAAATATATATGTCTGAGATTGAGGTTTTTTTTTCACAGGAAAACATTTTATAATGTCTGTTATTCTAGTACTAGAGATTTTAAGACATTCTTTATTTTATTACATAGAGTTCATGTTTGATTGAGTTCATTTAAAATTTATGTAATAATATTTAAAATTATTTAATTCATTATTACATTTTACCATGTTGCCAGGCGTTCCTCAGGTCTTTAAAACAAAAAGCTCTTGATGGTCATTCTGTCTTCCCCATATTTCACGAATATCAATTAAAGGAGAACAATTAAAGTTCATAAAGTAATTCAATACAACATATTGTATTTAGATTATATTGTATTATGCTGTGCTTATCTTAGTTAATGGTACTTAACTTGGGGAAACAATTAACTATAGGTACAAAAAATGTCATTCGCTGTAACGTTTAGGTATTTTCAGATTTATGTCTCCATGCGCATGTGCAACCAGAACGCGAAAATGCAAAAATGTAACAATGCGAAAATGTAACAATGCGAAAAAACGAAAATGTTACAATGCAAAAAGGCGAAAAAGTATGAAGGCGAAAAGGCGAAAATACGACAGATGGAATGCGAATATACGACAGATTTTAAGTGTCGTGTTTGCTCCCTTCTTCTGTCGAATTTTTCGCTTTGTTGCCTCGAAAATGCGAAAAAGCGAAAACACGAAGAGACAACAAAGTCCACTTAAAGTCCACTTTTGTCGTCCCTTCGTGTTGTCGCATTTTTGCATTTTGAGGCGAATAAGCGAAAAAACGACATCACGTAAATCAGCCACCATGATAAGAAGATACTTATAATAATCAAAGTATGCAATTGAATATCTATTTTACAAAATGGATCTGCATTTGCTATATAAACATGAAAAGAGAGCAATTGTGATATGCCGGTCCATTTTCAACGATTTAAAAGAGGCCGCAATTAAGCAAAAGTTTATAAATCTAGTATATTGTTGTTAAATAAAAATTGATACCAAAAATATCTAAATGTGCTTAGCAGTGGTAAATGAATGCAGTTTGTTAACATATATACTAATAGCATTTTCAGGAATTTTATTTATTTGATATTTTTAGCTCGACGTTTTGAAGTATAAGCCTGTCGTCGATGTTGGTGAAACATTTAAGTTTAATCTGCAATGTCATTTTTTATTGACTGCAAAAGGGTTTCATTTGTAATATCACGCATATCTCTGGGAACACACTTAGGTCACTGACCAAGACATATAACTCAAGTATAAAATATTCTAAATTCATTATCCTCTGCAAACTTTCACATAGGTTTTATAGAAGCGGTGATTCCTATGCAGCGTCGATGTTCTTTTCTTTTATCTCCTACCATATATGCTAGGCTATATATGAAAACAATTCTGCATAGTTTGATGAAGGGGCGCATTTTACCATATCATTATTAAACTTGTCCAACATGGCACAGTACAACGATAACGACGACATTGTATGGTGGGTATGTTACTTTTGCAAATAAAACACATTTTGGTACTGTTATTGTATGTTTATATAAAATAATAACAAAGTGCTAATTTCACAGACGGCGGATGCAACTATAATAATTCTGTGCGGTAGATCTGATTTAATAATTGTCTCTTTCGAGCGGTCACCTTTATATCAAGAAACTTTAACTTTATTACTAATGTGACCATTAGCAGCCTTAAATAATATTGGGCGGCCGGTAATTGAGAAAATAGTGCAGATTGGGATACAAGCATGAAGCTTTCATTTTAAGATCAAGTAGATAACACAAATGAAATGTAAATTTGACGTAATAAAAACAAAACTGTAAATTTTACAAAATTCCGGTTTCAGACCTCTTCACAATCAAATATGGCATCCAATGTGGCCGCCGGTTTTATGCAAAATTGTTATATAAATTTTAAGTTTATGTCTAAAAATATTCTTAAAAAACATGAAGAACAAATCTTAATTTTTGCATACTTTTCTTGTTTGGGTTTCTTAATCTGTATACAAAATTTAATAAAGGTACTTTACTTCTTATTTTGTAATATTCAATCAACAAAATGTGTCTCTTGTAAAACGGGCGGGATAAATTTATTCGATAATTATAAAAGAAAAACAACAAAATTTACACTGGAAAGCTACTTTTCCTTTTGACATCTTTTGCAAATGTACCCATTTTAAAAGCATCCATTTTTGGACGAAGTTATTTTTGTCGTCCTTTGGGTCAAGTTGGTAAACTTAAATATCAAAATAAATGCGCATACAATCGCAATTTGTAAATATTTTTATACATTTAGTTATTAAATTTGATTGCATACTACTACTTCTTTCAATATATTTGATATTATTTATTGATTGTTCATGGTTAAGACATAAGAAGACAATAAATCGACAAAACATGCTTTTAAAAGCAAAAAGGTACATAATTGCCAGGTATAAAGGTAGTCCATTAACACATATTATGAACTCCTTCACACTTTAAAAATATTATAATGACTTTAAAGCTAACCCAATGAGATAAAAAATGCACCTTAACATACATAAAAAAAATAAGGTTAATGTCTCATCATTTCGTCTGTGTGTAGTGAAACAGATATACCAACAAGTCAAATATTGATGCTGCACATCAAAGACGCCGCAAAATGACGTGAACAGTCAATCAGCATTGATAAACCTTCCATATTACAGTTGAATATCCGAAGCCAAATCATTTTTGTCTCCATATTCTTTAAATGTGCTCGTTGTTTAATAACTAAGTTGAATACTTTTGTTTAAAAGTAGAACCTAAAACATAAATTCACAAAGTAATGCCATGTCTGAAAATCTGAAGTGTTTGTCTGTTGCGACAAAAATAGAAAGGTCTGGTCTAAGCAAAATAAATTGGATGACAAGTCAAATTGAAATGATTGGTATACTTAATATAAATTCAAGAATACGTGCAGAGAATATTACCATTTAAATATTGGTACGAATTTGCATAATGTTCGAATGATTTTGAGGACGAACTATTCTGCAGTGATTTCCCCTTACTGACCGTTGCGTAAACTGGGTAACGCGTTTTTGTAGAGAAAACCGCTTCTCTGATAGTGGGCGTGGTTTAGGCTTTGTAACTTGTAATTTTATGTTTCGACAAGTGATATATTGTTCAAAGTTGCCCTGGTTCCATTCCGCCCCGCCAACGAGGACTGAATGCTAGCATACGGAGCATCATATTAAATTTGGCGACAATTTATGGCGGAGCCGAACTTTAACAGAGGTGGAGCAAATGTAGTGAGTGACACTGCCTCAGTCGTTACCTCTGTCAACGGTAAAGTTCTAGAACGATCGACTATAGACTGGCTCATTGGCACGATATTTATTATGTAGATACAATTACATGATGATAAAAAGAATCTGATATTCAAACATTGCACTATCCCATAGAGTTAGAAAATTATTCTAGAGAAATATGCAAACATTGACACTTTTAAAATAATATTCTTAAAGATATTTTTTGGACGAAAAAAACTTAAAAAGCTGGACTAACGTTGTTTGGTTACATATTATTTTTGATCTGTTTAAACATCTTTTATCGATAAATG